ATGTACATATATAGATATGTGTATGTGTATATATATATATGTATATATGTATGTATATATATATAATTTATATGTATATGAAAATATATATATATAGGTATATTATATATTTTATATATATATATATGAAAGACCGATCGGTTGAAACCGACCGCGAATCACGCGGAATGCCACGGAATAACAAGAGTTTAGAGTCAGAACGAAAGTAATCGAAAAAAAAATGTATCCCGTTTCGCCCGTGAACAACTCGCACTTTCACGATATGGTCACTGGACTCATCGTCGGTAGACAGGGCTAGAAAGACAAAAAGACTAAGAATAAAAAAAAATCAAGTAAAGGCGCAGCATAGCCATTGGTGCATCGCTTAATCTTTTGACAAGAATCCGAATCCAAAAAAAAAAAAAAAAAATAATAAAATAAGATAAAATTCAAAACTAAAAATACAAAAAAAAACCAAAGAAAAGTCAAATTCGATTTAATGTTATGCCGGTGTGTTGTGTGTTATTCTATGCTGCAGGACGTGAACTCGATTGCGATCCGCCCTCGAACACTGGCAAAATTCTCTCTAAGCGTTCTCCTCGAAGATCGAACACACACGCCCCCGAGACGCCGGGAAGCGGAGAGTATCGAGGAGTGTATCCGTTGGAGAACCGGGATAACTGAACCGAACCGGGATTCAGAACGAACGAAACGGGACTTGGCTCTCCGTTATTCTGTGGCATGTACCCCGGCGACCGTGGAACCGGAAGTGCAATCGGTTCCCGATCTATCGATAACCAACGTAGAGAACCGCGGCCGACCGACTCAACGACCGACTCAACGGACCGATCCAACGACCGACACGAAACGAAAATTACCATTTCCGCGAGCATCTGTCGGACGTAGGCGCCTGCTGTAAGTGCACGCGGCTCGTTGTCTCGCGAACTCGCCGATGAAATCGTATTTCTTCGTGGAAGTTCGTTCGAGTCCGCGGTGACCGGCGCGAGGCGGCAAACTTTTCGACGGGGGCGAAAACACGTTTGTATTTGAAAACTGCCACCAACGAGGTTCACCGTTCAACGACGAGGCCTGGGTCCGTTTGGACCCAGAATCCAAATATTCTAAATATTCGACTATCCAATTTCTGACAGTTCATTCAAATCGTTTCATTTAGCTTTTTATAAAATCTGACTTATCTAAAAGAAATCAAATAAAAATATAAACATGTTGAAAATATTGTTGAATAAAATTACGAACGATCCTAAGCACGTTAAGTCGTATCTCACGTATCAAAATGGTCCGCTGTTCGAGGGTTAAATCTTGTGCGACGTTTGGTAGGAGATTTCGTTAGATCTATTCGAATTCTCGGTAATATCGATTATGTTGCACATATTTTCTCACCTGTTTCTCGTTGAATTCGGTATCGACCTTGAGCTAGTATATAAATACACGATTATTTAACGCCGAACCTACCAAGCCTGTCGAAACGACCGCTTACACGTTTCGTATTTTAAAATTGCCGAAACTAAATACAAATAAAGACTCTTCCGTAGGAGACGATTGAACTATAATATTCGATGTAATCAAAATTGCCGAAATTAACTAAATTCAATCGTATCATTCTTACGGAGCAACGCCCTATTTTTAATGTTCCGGTAGATTCGGCGTTAAACGAGTCGTTTAGGAAATACGAGTTTCGATGCGCGACGCGTTTCGTTCGAAAGCCCGATTGCATTTATCAGGCTCGACGACGATATTCGTTCGTAACGGATCGAACGATCGCGATCGAATTCGAACGAT